CTCCTCCATTATCCCCCTCACCCTCAAAGCCTCCAGCCGGTGTTCCTGGGTGGAGACGGGTTCCATGATGATGGTGACAGCCCTCACCAGCTGCTCGCACAGGGTCTGCACCTGCTCCGCCATCTTCCCGGGGTCTCTCCACCGACAATCCGACGAGAAGATCAATTGGCCGCGCATGTGCTGGACCGGCATGGGATACACCGAGCACGCGCACTGCCACAGAGTTCTCCCGCGCCTGCGCAGTGCCACGCTCCGACAGTGGAACACCGCGCAGGCGCAAACCGCCCCACGCCGTGCTCAGGGCAAACACCGCGCACATCTCTGACGTCATCGGCCTGTCAGGAGAGAGTGGCGGGAATGTGAGGAGAGGTGAGAGAGCGCTCCCCCACCCATCTGAGGAGATGTCAGAGAGTCATAGATACCCCGGGGGTGAGAAAGCGGTCACCTACCTACCTACCTCCTAAATCTGAGGGGAGGTTAGAGACTCATAGATACCCCTGGGGGTGAGATAGTGGTCACCTACCTATGTGCCCCACCTTTAATTGGCCCCCCATTTCTAGAACACACAGCTCCCAGTGTTGGGTACTTGCAGGACACAGGCCTCTGTCCTCATTGTAGACCAGCCTGCGAGGTGGCAGGTCCTCTTTATGGACAGATGTGATCTGACGTTCTCTTTCCCCTCGCAGACGAGGACCAATCTCCTCCCCCTCCTCTGGTGACACGATGGAGTCTGGTCAGGATCGGGTGGTCGCTCTCGTAGACATGGATTGCTTCTACGTCCAGGTGGAGCAGAGGCTGCGGCCGGAGCTGAAGAACAAGCCAGTGGCCGTGGTGCAGTACAAGACCTGGAAGGGAGGAGGGTAAGAGGCAGCCATGTTCTCCGCTATGGGAGCAGATGCTCGACTTGTTTAATTTCTCCAGAATTCAGGACTCTCATCATTTGTATTAACCTTTCATTGGGGCGGCCCCAGTGCTGCAAGGGTTAACTGCATGTTTTTCTCTAGGGACTCCCAAAAAATACTAACCTGATCCTCTATATCACCTGGCTGCTAGACTGGTCCCTGCATCCTCTTCTGCCCTGTGCTCAGGCGGTCCAAGCACCCGTGACGTCTTCACGTCTAATGAGGCTGGGTGCGTGGGTAGGGACCCTGTGGCTGGGGGCGCCCCCTGAGGCTGGGCGCGTGTGGGAGCCCTGAGGCTGGGCGCGGATGGGGAGCCCTGAGGCTGGCGCGGGGACTGACCCTGAGGCTGGGCGCGGGTACGGACCCTGAGGCTAGACGCGGGTGGGGAGCCCTGAGGCGGGCGCGGGTGGGGAGCCCTGAGGCGGGCGCGGGTGGGGAGCCCTGAGGCGGGCGCGGGTGGGGAGCCCTGAGGCGGGCGCGGGTGGGGAGCCCTGAGGCGGGCGCGGGTGGGGAGCCCTGAGGCGGGCGCGGGTGGGGAGCCCTGAGGCGGGCGCGGGTGGGGAGCCCTGAGGCGGGCGCGGGTGGGGAGCCCTGAGGCGGGCGCGGGTGGGGAGCCCTGAGGCGGGCGCGGGTGGGGAGCCCTGAGGCGGGCGCGGGTGGGGAGCCCTGAGGCGGGCGCGGGTGGGGAGCCCTGAGGCGGGCGCGGGTGGGGAGCCCTGAGGCGGGCGCGGGTGGGGAGCCCTGAGGCGGGCGCGGGTGGGGAGCCCTGAGGCGGGCGCGGGTGGGGAGCCCTGAGGCGGGCGCGGGTGGGGAGCCCTGAGGCGGGCGCGGGTGGGGAGCCCTGAGGCGGGCGCGGGTGGGGAGCCCTGAGGCGGGCGCGGGTGGGGAGCCCTGAGGCGGGCGCGGGTGGGGAGCCCTGAGGCGGGCGCGGGTGGGGAGCCCTGAGGCGGGCGCGGGTGGGGAGCCCTGAGGCGGGCGCGGGTGGGGAGCCCTGAGGCGGGCGCGGGTGGGGAGCCCTGAGGCGGGCGCGGGTGGGGAGCCCTGAGGCGGGCGCGGGTGGGGAGCCCTGAGGCGGGCGCGGGTGGGGAGCCCTGAGGCGGGCGCGGGTGGGGAGCCCTGAGGCGGGCGCGGGTGGGGAGCCCTGAGGCGGGCGCGGGTGGGGAGCCCTGAGGCGGGCGCGGGTGGGGAGCCCTGAGGCGGGCGCGGGTGGGGAGCCCTGAGGCGGGCGCGGGTGGGGAGCCCTGAGGCGGGCGCGGGTGGGGAGCCCTGAGGCGGGCGCGGGTGGGGAGCCCTGAGGCGGGCGCGGGTGGGGAGCCCTGAGGCGGGCGCGGGTGGGGAGCCCTGAGGCGGGCGCGGGTGGGGAGCCCTGAGGCGGGCGCGGGTGGGGAGCCCTGAGGCTGGCACATACCGGAGGCAGGCCCAGGCACAGACTAATGACAGGTACAGATTTCCTTCCCCCCAATTCAAGGGTTAAGTGCTCGGTAAGTCTAGGGGTGGAGGAATACGCTGCATTACTACTTGCCTTATTCATGGCTTCAGCTGTGTGACGGGACCCCCGAAGCCTCTTCTCTGAGGCGCTCTGGCTAGAGGTCACGTGTTGAAGCCATCGAGTAGAATGCAGAACCAATAGTCCTACATTGTACCCGAGGATGGCAAGGGCCCGCCTACAACGGAGCCTCCCAGAGAGGAGAGCAGCGGAGTGATGAGGTAATTATTCCAGCTTATTCCTCTAGACTTGCCCAGCATTTAACCCTTGCAGGGTACGGGGGTTAGGTCATGAACTTCAGTTTTCCGGTATCATACGTGCTGTAGGTCCTGGGGGGTTTGTGCAGCCAGACTTCAGATGATGGTGTAACAACGACCCGTGGTATCCCATGTGTGGTCAGGCACGTGGGTGACACTTTGCGCCGGATTATGTTAATGTTGTTCTTTGCCAGGTTGATGTTGGTGACACTGTGATCTGTCCGCACAGGATTATAGCGGTCAGTTATGAAGCCCGGGCCTTCGGGGTGACCCGGAACATGTTTGGCGACGACGCTAAGAAGCTTTGTGCTGACCTGCAGCTTGCCCGTGTCAGAGAGGCTCATGGGAAAGCCGATCTCACAAAGTGAGTATAATGGGGGTGAATGCGTCGGGCTGTTGGAAGTTTATCAGCTGAGCGCAGTCCATGTCACATCCTTCGTCCTTTCAGGTATCGGGAGGCCAGCGTGGAAGTGATGGAGGTCATGTCTCGGTTTGCCGTGGTGGAAAGAGCGAGCATTGATGAGGCTTACATAGACCTGACTGAAGCCGTACAGAAACGATTGCAGGACATGGAGGGTCAGCCTGTGTCGGAGGATATGCTGAAATGCACCTACGTTCAGGGCTATCCTCAGCTGAAGCCAGTCTCCGAGGAGAGCCTCAGCAAAGGTGACTGTATTCCAGTATACATGTATTCAGCACTCGTTAAATGATAAGAGGGTATGAAATTAAAATCCACAGTGCTTATCGCAGACTGGCTGTGCTGCTTTTCAGAGGAGGGGCGTCGTCTGGGGGTGGAGCAATGGTTGAAGTCCCTCCCCCTGGGAAGCCTTCATAGTCCTGAGCTGAATCTGACGGTCGGAGCCATCATTGTAGAGGAGATGAGGGCAGCAGTCGAGGAAGAGACGACCTTTCAATGCTCTGCCGGGATTTCTTATAACAAGGTGAACGGATGGGCCAAACTTACCCGGCGCTGGAGGCCTTTTCCTTTTATTTTGATTAAATGTTTGTGATTTTATGTTAAATTGGAGTACAAAGTGTAACAGAGGTGAGCCTTGTGTGCCGTATATGACAAGGACATGAAGCTTTGGTGGTTGTATTATTGTGTGGGCAGTGGTGGGATGAATGATCTGCTCGGGGAATCGAGGGTCCAGATGAACTTTGCATCAGTCGTGTTTTTCCCTCTCCATGCATTGTGTAGGTTCTGGCAAAGTTGGCTTGTGGATTTAATAAACCAAACCGCCAAACTATCGTCTCTCAGAACTCCGTGCCGGAACTATTCAACCAGCTGCCTATCGGAAAGATGTGAGTGTGGGGCGCAGGGTGGGGATTCCATAGAAATCAGTAACTGTATAACCTCAAATCTCTGCCTGATGATCTACAAATGCCACAGCAAACAGTGTGTACC